GAAGATTCGGACGGAGCGTTGATGAACTAATGACATGCCGGATAATATTTGATTTTCTTTATAATAATTATCTAGATCGAAGTAAGTTTTAAGTGTGCAGGATTAACTATGATAGCGATCAAGGGATAAAGCAAAATAAAGTCCTGAAGTCAAGAATGAGATTTCATTGGGAGTTCAAGAGTTCGTCGGAAGTCCTAACGTTTGTCCGAAGTTCTACCGGAATTGATCGAGAAGTCCAAGAACTTGCCAAAGAAGCTTATCAGAACTCGCCAAGAAGATCGTCCTGAAGTTTGGGAGCTTGCCGGGAGTCCGTTGGAACATTACTGAGAGATCGTCGAAAGTTTACTGGAAGATCGCCGGAAGCTCACCGGAAGAAACCTAGACTAACCAGACATGATTTGCTTAGTGTATGCCTTAAAATTTATAGTTAGCACATAATTGGGTTAGAATTGGGCCAACTCAATTAGGAGTCAATTGGACCCAAGTTTGGGCTGTGTTAGGCTAAGTGAAAAGGCCCAAATAGTGACACAACAGGTGAAACCATCATGGCACAGTCTTTGAGACTGTGTCAGGTGGTGGTACCACCCAGTAGCAAGGTGTCAAGCGGTGGTACCACCCAACGTCAGTGCTGCAGGCGGTGGTACCGTTAGGACCCGAGAAACCTGGGATGAGATACTTTTAGGCTCCAAGTTTGAATCCACTTGAAGCCTATAAATACATCTCTTATCCCCGGTTAACACACACACAACTGAGAACAAAAAAAAAGAAAATGCTATTGTAATCTTGTGTGAACTTCTCTCAAACTCTAAGTGTTAGTCTTCTTTAAGAGAGGAGTGAAGGGGGTTGTAAAGGTTCTCACCTGAACCTGTCAAAAGGAGAATCGAGTTGTAAAAGGGTAGTTGATCTTCGCCCATTGAAGGAAGATCGTTAGTAGATGCCAGTGGCCTCGATGAAAGAGGAATCGGTAGAGTGGATGTAGGTCATGACGATTAAACCACTATAAAATGATTTGCATTTCGTTTTGAGCAATTTACCTTTACTGTAAACTGTTTTACCTTCTTATTGCTTTCACTATGCTCCTATATGCTTTCAAGTTAATATCTTTATGAAATAGTTTTTATCGGAATCGGGTTTAATCGAAACAAAGATTTTTGAAATCGATAATTTTTTCACTGCACTAATTCACCCTCCCTCTTAGTATCAACTCGTTCCTAACAAGACTAACCGCCTCCATCACATGGACGGGTATACAGTACACTAGTTTATTTGGTTATCTCGATATCCCTCTTGAATAACCTATGACTGAGATTATTTAGGATCTATATTTAAAGGTGAATCAGTCTCATTATCATGATCTCATCACGATCCGATTTTCATTGCATAGGTCTATAGACATCACAATATATATATATATATAATTATTAATTAATTAAGTCTTGATCAAAGTAGTTTAGGTTATAATTAAGTCAATTTTGGGTGTAACCATACCAACTCAATTAGGGACCCATTGGGGCCCATTCAATGACCCATAGTTCGGTCAGGCGATGGAACCATTTATGAGTTGGAATGTACGAAGTGTACAGTTTTAGACTCAACGGTGGTACCGCTAGTGTTAAGCGGTAGTACCACCCAGACTAGCAGTGGTATCGTCCAAGCATAGTCTCCCAAATTGTCAAGCGGTGGTACCACCCCGACTAGGCAATGGTATCGCTAGTTGTCAGTCTTGCAGGTGGTAGTATCGTCCAGTATTAACGGTAGTACTACTAGGATCCCAGAAACCCATGATAAGATTTTTTTTTGCTCTATTTTTGAAGTTATTTGGGGCCTATAAATATCCCACTCTTTTCTATTTGAGATAGCAAGAAAAGAAAATGAAAAGGCTTATGATTGTAAGTTGTAAAAGCTTGAAAAAGTCTTGAGTAGTCTCCTCCTCCTCTTTAAAAGTTTAGAGTCATTCTGAGGGAGGTGTGAGACTTGTAAAGATCCTCTCCTAAACGTGTGAAAAGGAGAAAATGTTGTAAAGAGGGTAGTTGGTCTTTGCCCATTGAAATAAGATCATTAGTGAATATCGGTGGCCTCGACGGAAGAGGAATCGGGAATGGACGTAGGTCATGACGACCGAACTACTATAAATTCCATGTGCATTTTCTTTTAGCTCTTTATTACTTTTTCTTTATGATTTAACTGCTTATTACACTTACTCTGAGTTAAGCACACTTTCAATATCGATTTTCGTCGAACGAAAATTTTAAACCGAGGCTTTTACAAAAGCATTAATTCACCCCTCTTAGCCCCACTTCTTAGTTCCTTTACGATCCTAACAGTTGGTATTAGAGCTTGGTTCTCTCATTTAGTTTAACACCCAAGAGAGATTAAATGATTTTTTTCGACAATCAAGAGGGTCACTCTATCACTTGTTCTCTTATGTTCAATTGGACGGACTACACGTATTGAGAAACATAAATGTGAATTTTCTTGCTTTCTATTGATTTTGATCTATAGAATATTGTTAGGTTAGGTTTTCAGAAACTGTCTAAACGAATGAATGAATGAAATGGTTTAGAGAAAAAAAATATTTTCATTAAATACTAAAGCTGTGAATGCTTGCTTTTGGGCTTTAGATAAAAATAAGTTTAATCGTGTTTCTATATGTGAAACTGTACATGATATTTGGCACACACTTAAAGTTACTCAAGAAGGCATAAGTAGAATAAAAGAATCTAAGATTAATCTTTTGGTATATAGTTTTGAATTATTTTGAATGAAGCCAAGTGAAACTATTGGTGACATATACACTCATTTTATGAATGTTGTCAATAGTTTGAAAGCTTTTGGTAAATGTTTTACTAATCTTGAATTTGTTAATAAAATTCTAATATCCCTTTCAAAAAGTTGGGATTCAAATATAACTGCAATTCAAAAAGCAAAGGATTTGAATAACTTTTCTTTTGAATAACTCCTAGGATCATTAATGACCTATGAAATGACTTGCAATGTATATAATGAATAGGAGAACAATCTTCCAAAGGACAAGAAGGATATTACATTTAGAACAAAAGAAAACCACTCGAATGAAAGCTCAAGTGATAATGATAACATAGAACTTCTTACAAGAAAATTTAAAAGGTTCATAAAAAAAACAAGATATCAAAAACTAATAGCGAAAGTTTTTTTTGGATAAATTATCCATGATGTTATTTGATTATATTATTAGAAAAAAACTTAATGGGATAATTTTATTGAAACATTGTTACTTATTGGAACATTATTAAATTAAATTAAATGTAAATTTACTCAAATTTTGCATCGAGCATTTTCATAATAGTATTTTGGCGGATATATTTTAAGTCAAGAAGCTCAAGAGCATTTACATTAATTTAAAAAATCTTTTAACTCAAAAATTTTTATAAATAATCTCTTTTTTTCACTAGCATCATATGATACGATGAGATTATTATTAAAAAAATTAATAAATAATATATTAACATTGTTGAGCCCAAATTATTAGTCAAAATTCTTAGGTTGAGATTAATAAGAATACATTCGTAAGACTCTTAAAAGTTATTCTAAATTTTAGCTCATTTAAAATATAGGAGGACTAAACATATGTGAGACTGGTGATGCGCTTTGAGTTCATTGATAAATAGTTCTTTCTCATTTAAATCTTTTAGTAGATCAACTCTAATGAGATAGCCATTGATCAATATATAATTTAACAATAATATACTCATTAAATCCTCATGTGTTAGTTTAAATCTTTGTCTACCTTCAATATGGGATTGAACTGAGATGTTATACACGGAACTTACCAAAAATAAATAAATGTTACACACGGAGTGAATGTATTTGTGATAAAAAGATTACTTATATGTATATTGGGCTTAAAAAAAAAATCAAAGAGTGTGATAGTTATATTGTTGATAGAAAAATAACCTTATAATTACCATTGAGTTGGTATGCTGATGCTTGAGTTGAATTAGCAGGCAATCCTTATACAAATCTGAACCAGTCCCATAATTTGAGGTGGAAAACTAGATCACACTTTGTTTTCAGGGGAATCATGGTCGTTTGGGCCTTGAGGCAAAAGGGTTGTGCGTGGGTGAAAGTGAATATAATTTTAATTTATATAATTTTATAATATTTGATGTAAATTGTACTTTATATAGCATTTTATTACTTTATCCGATGTGTTTAGATTGGAATTCTCTCGAACATTATATATTATTTTATTTTTATATATAATATAGCGTATTATTTATGTCTTTTCTATTTAATATATATATTATTTCAGTTTTTTTAAATATGTCTGGATTGTCTAATCGTAAAGATCATAATTTCTCTAGCAATCACATTAAAGTTGTACAGAGGGGAGGAGCTGAGATCAAAATCTGATTATCAAGGACAATTTAATAATAATAATAATAATAATATAATAATAATAATAATAATAATAATAATATATTTTCTACTGGTGAAATGGATCCTTTATTACATAAATTGATAATAACGTAAAGCTATCAAATTGATCACTGGTAATATCAACCTCTTCTTTTCATCGTCTGCGTTTCCTATATGTACACCAAGCAAATCAGCGTGGAGCCACAGATGATAAAGATTGACCTCAAGATCCGAACCCGTCAGTCGTTTCGACCCGTTTCGCTCGGGTCGGGTTTTGCCCCGGCGGGTCATGGCATGACATCTCCGCCATCTGCCCTCTTCCCTCTGTTTCCTGCGTCACAGCCATCATGTGCCCGTCCTCTTCTTTCTCGGCGGCTGACCCTACCACCTCAACTGCGCCTTACACGCCTCCTCCAGCACCACCGCCTGAACCGCCGGCGACGCGACCTCCTCCGTCATCATCACCGTCGATGAGGTTCCAGGTGGATCGGTGGCCGCGCGTGCTTCACAAAGTAATTTGGGTCGGATCCGGGTCAGGCCCCAGTGGCTTTTATTCCAGAGCTCAACCCGATCCGTCGACAGACAGGTCTGGATAACACACGGACGAAAGATAAAGAGCAGGGTGATGAAGAGGAGCCTCTTTACTTGGGGGGAGACAGCGAGGGAGGCTAGGATAGAGCGACTGCCCGAGGAAGAAGGCCATGGCGTTGGTGATTCCTTCGATTCACTCGTCCTGGTATCCTTCTCTCTCTTCTCTGCTCTTCCAATCCTTTTTTGGGTTCTACGGCGTGCTTTCAAATGGATGCGATGCACCCTTTTTCTAGCACATGTCAAATGTTGAATGTGTTTTACGAAGTCGGTCCATATACTAAGTAGGATCATTGACGGGTTGGATAATTACAACATATCCGGCAAGAAAGATGTAGAATGATGTGTTGCAGCAGTATATGGTCATGTCTAATTTGGCACAATACCTGTATCCATCTGTACTCCATCTGTTGATGTTTTAATCCTTGAAATTATGCTTCAGGCCTACCATGCTTCCGTTTTCTTAAGCAAGCTTGTCCTATTTTAGATTATTTCTTTGATTTATTTTTTTGGGGGGTAAATGAGTTCGTTCTTTCAGCTTTTACTTCTTAGAGTGGAGTGCAAATTATTTGACTCCATGTGCAGTCGCATGTGCAGAAACTAATGCTGCTTAACACGTTACAACATCTTATATACGAACAGTTGTCATCTAAACATGCTTCATGATAATGCTTTATGCAGTTGGTGTTTCCTGCTCTGAGTTCAGTGATGTGTCTGGTTTATATGTGAAGTGAATCTTAATACACAACGATAGTAACCATAATAGTGTGCTCACACAATTTTATATCGACCATAGCATTGTACTGGTTTATGAGTTCTAGTTCAATTGGTTATCTCAAGTTATTTAGACCCTGATTATACACTATTTTGCTGAAAATCATAGTTGCATTGGCTAATTTTTGTGGTTAAAGACAAAAAAGTTTTTAGTTTTTGTTGTGCATTAAGGTGTTTAGCATTTTAGTTGCTTGTATTTGATGAATACAGAAGCTAACTAAATGTCCCTGCTTCTGATCCTTCAGCAACTTGAACTCTGCATTTCTCGGTGACAGAAGTAGGATTTGTATTTCAGATGCTCCATTCAGTAGGGTTCATTTTCTGCGGAAGCCAGTGGAATGTAAGGAATCTAGGATTGGAAAGAGACCAATTGAAGTGCCTCCAAATGTGACCATTGCGTTGGATGGGCAAGATTTGAAGGTTAAAGGTCCACTTGGGGAACTTTCAAGGACTTACCCACGTGAGGTAAAAGTTCAAAGGGATGAATCTGGATTTTTAAAGGTCTCCAAGGCTGTAGAAACTAGAAGAGCCAATCAAATGCATGGGCTTTTCAGGTGAGTTTTTTTACTATACTGGTGACAATTGACTGTTTTTTGGCCGATATCAACCCTTGATGCATCCTAATCATAAACATTGTCACATGAGACCTTGCGTATCACATTAAAATTCTAGACTAGATTGTTTTCGTGAATCACTTTATCTTTTTAATATAATTGGAATTTTGTAACATTTTGAGATGGATGGCAGGATAATATACCTTCTGTTTATGTTATCTAATTCCTCCTGTATGATAATATTGAATGGTCTTGCATCATTGCTAGTATGCATAAGTTCCCTGGTCTATGTCTTTTTTGGGGAAGGCAATATGCATGTCAGGTGTATTTTGTTTGCAGTTTTTGTTCAAATTTGTGAAAAATTATCATGTCTCCTAACATAGACATTTACATGCAATCATAAGCTAATTGCTTTTTGTTCTGTCTTTTCAGCAAATTGTTGCAGATGTTAATACACTTTCTGGTCATAATTTGTTATTAAAGATACACATTGTAGGGGACTGACAGAAACATATTAGCATAAAAATAAAAACAAGAAAGTACAGTTTTTGAGAATTTATTGTGAAAGAGTTCTTTCTCGTATGGTGTTATAGGTTGATTGAACTAATCTATAAATTGCTAAGGAAATAGGGAACTATGAATTATTGGCATTTCTTGATGATATGCCATGGTTTAATGTGGTTCCGGTACGTTGACCAGGTGAGTTCCAGTTTTGAAACCAGGTTTTCTTAATTTTTTCCTTTTTGAAGTTGTACAGGCAAAAACAGCTGCTGACAGCTGTCAAAAACTGTTGGCTATTTTAGATGGTAAAAAAGAGCTTTTACTTCAAACAAAACTTCTATTTTTCCTTCACTTGGACAGTGTAAATTCTGCCTCTGCCACGTCCACCTCGTCCCATTGTCAAAGCTGCCTCCACCTCACCCTCCTCCAATGATGCACATAGCCATCTTCTCCTTTCTTTCTCCTACTTTCTTTCTCCTCCTCCTCTTTCCCTCTTCTATCCCTCTTTCTCTTTGGTCTGTGTCAATTGCTATGTCAGTGTACTGTGTGTCCATATGCCACTATACTGGACCCATACTAGTCTAACCAGGGACTGATACATGTCTTGGTCCAAAACTTGAAACCTTCTATTATCAATTGAATGATAAGAATCATTGTTGATAATTGTCTCTTGCATGGTTTAAATCTATTTTTTGAAACGCTGTCAGTCTTTATTCTAATTCTTTTGCTTATTAGGTGGTCTTGACCACTTTCAACTTGATTCGCCCAGAAAACACTTACCGAGAGTCTGATTTAGCTGGTTTTGTAATGGTCAAATATATCAAGTATCAACTAGTCTGTATCCTTCATGGTATTAAATTGATAGCATGAAACTAGATGTCATCAGCTTTTCTTTTTTCTTGTTTAGACAGGAAATAACCCTGACAATGCACTGATGTAATAAGAACATGAGGACCAATCATAAGATATGATTGTTTGCTGGTGGTTATTTAAACAAAATCGTTACACAGTTCAATTCACTAAGCAAATAACTCATGTCACCATAATATATAAACAGTTCAAATAATTTTTGTCACGAAGTTATGTGTGTGAAAATGTAGGTATTACTAGTGATTTCAATAGGCGCTCGGGCGCTCGCCTAGGTGCTCAGGCGAGGCGAGGCGAGGCCCGAGCGCCTCGCTTCATGTCCAGGCGCCTCACTTCAAAGAGGCGCCGCCTAGGCGCTCGCCCGAGCCCAGGCGTCGGGCGCTTCGGGCGAGCGCCTGGGTTAAATCAGGCGACCAAACCAGATTTTTAGGTCTGGTTGGTCTCCGGTGCCTTTGTTGGTTCAATCGAACTAACTAAATCACCGATATCATGCTCCCTTTCGTGATTTACCCGACTTCCCCAACCCTAACACTCGCGATTTTACCGTCGAGATTTCTTCTCCGTTGTCGCTGCTCTCTGCTGCCGCTGCAACTGTCGCTGCTCGCCGCTACTGTCGCTATTCGCCGCTGCCACAATCGACTGCTCGCCGCTGCCACAATCGCTACTCGTCGCTGCTGTCGTCGCTCGCCGCTGTTGTTGCTGCTGTCGCTCGCAGCTCCCGCTCCCACTCCCGCTGTCGCCGCCGCTCGCCGCTTCCACTCTCGCTCCAACTATGGCTGTCGCTTGCTACCGTTGCCTCAGTAGCCTCGGTCTTCTCACACTTTTCTCACTATACCGTCAACAGTATATTAACAGTATACTGCTAATTGTATACTAATAATAGTATTTTTATTTATTAGATTACTAATATATTATTTTTTATTTTAATATTATTAATTTTTATTTATTTAATAGTATTTTTTGTTTAAAAATAAAAAATATACTATTATGATTTATTTATTTAATGTGATTTTGTACCTAATTTTCTTAATTTAATAGCATATTTTATTTAAATAATTATATTTATTAATTATATTATATATTTTTATATTTTAGCGCCTCGCTTCGCTCGGGCGAGCGCCTAGCGCCTCGGGCGTTTTTGGACCTTAGCGCCTATTGGCGCCTAACGCTTTTGAAATCACTGGGTATTACAGTAGTTTAGAAGCAAAGTTGGAGCATTTTTTTCCAAGAAAAGACTTCTATTAGATCCTTAAAGATCTGCTAAAGGACCTTTTGAGGCCAGAGTACAGAATAGAAGATAGTTTAGGGGGGAAGGTATCTGCCCACAAAAAGCAGATTTATTTCCACTGGCACTGTATGCAGTCCAATGGGCTGCTTGATTATACTGACGGAAACAGTGCAGATTGTGTATGATGATAGTTGAGATAGAAGAGCTTTAATGTTGCTGATCGTTGTCCGAATACACTATGGGGGAGTCAAGTCCTTGGTTAATGTCATAAAGAGTTGAGGAGTTAGATTCAATTTGCACTGCTATGAGCTCACCTATCGTTGTAGCTTGAAGACCAAGCTTAAGTGCCAATGCTTCATACTGGATAGGTGATTTGTTTTGAATATGTTGTTCTTGCAAATTTGCAAATGCCAACTTGGTCACGAATCACGAACCCGAGGCTTCCTTCCTGCAATGAAGAAGAACTATCAGTATTTAATTTAACGCAACCAAGTGGTGGTTTACTTCATTTAACCCACGTAAAATTATTCATTTTGTTGCCCTCAGGTAGGGTGGATCTAGCATAATGGCTAGTAAAGGTGACTGCTTGGGACCAAGTCCCTGTTATTGAGGGTAATTATCCTGTAAACAGGGAGGAATTCTGTGCCTTCTAGATAAACCAGAGTTGGTTTTCAATGATAGCATGAAGTAACTTCCCAATGTCAAGGGTGGATCCTTCTAAGAGCCAATCATCTACATTCCAGGATTTTTTAAGGAGGAACTGGGTTGGGAAAACATGAGACCATCTATCCCACACTTGAATAGAGTTCGTGGGATAAGTGTGAGATGGTTTCAGGAGTATTGTGGCATATTGGGCAGGGCTGATTGGGTTGCATCTGCAGCCACTGGTGTCTGTTTGTAGTAGGTAGTCGCTTGTGGAGGAGTTTCAAACAAAACAAGTGGATTTTAGGAGAATAAGAAGCTTCCATAAAGTATGCTAGCCGTACCAACTGGAATCTGGGGCATAGTCCTTCTGTTTAAGGAAAAAATAAGCGTCTTTAGCTATAGCCTTACCTTGCACATGAGTAGTCCAAGCCCATAAATCATCACAGGGTGAATGAGCAATTTCAATAGAGTTAATACGAGAAACCAACTCTTAGCCAAACCTCATCGATAGCAATTGGGTTTCCTAGCTATCAAATTGGTTAAGGGAGTCTCCACAGTAGTATCCTCCGTCAAAGTCGAAACATCCAAAAAAGTCAATTTTAAAAACAATGGTAAATAAAAAATCCACGGATCATAGAAATCACTGGTTTGAGACCCATTTCCAATCTGTTTAGGGAAACCAACCCTAAGGCTGATCACATCTTGAAGAAAAAGGCGCCAACTTCAAGTAGAGTTTTTAATGGTGGGAGGGGACCAAGGATTTATAGGGCCATATTAGGTAGAAAGAACAAAATACTAAAGGCTATTGGCATGATGAAGGAATCTAGCAATCTGGGAGGCTTGTAAAGTGTACTTAAAAAGAGGGAGATCATGAATAGTGAGACCCTCATCATCCTTAGAATTCGTGATAGTGGACCAATTAATGAGGTGAAACCCTTTAGTATCAGGGCCTTTCTGCCAGAGGAAGTTTTTAGTTGGAGTTTCCAACTTATGAAACACAGACTCAAGCATCCAATTGACACTCAGTGTGTGCACTGGGATGGAATTCAAAATCGACTTAATTAAAACAAGATGACGAGCTCGAGATAAGTAATGACACTGCTAGGAGGCAAGCTTAGCTTTAATTTTGTGCAGAATGTCATCATATATGGTGCAATTGATGCACCAAGATACTTAAAGGGGAAACATCCCTCCTTAAAGCCAAGGAAAGCATATTTCAAGTCTAGTGTGTCTAGGAGTAGATTTGGGGAAGTAAATTTCAGACATGGACATACTGATACGATAGTTGGTGAGCGATTCATGAGTATGGAAAATGGATTGAACGGCCAAACAATACTTCCTGTTAGCCCTAAAACATAAGAGGATATCATAGTGTACACGATGTGGTTAATGCTACAGTTGGGACCAAACATGAAAGGAGAAAGATGGTTTGACTCAATAGCTTGAGCAAAAAGTTGAGTTAAAATTTATGCTACCAGGATATAAAGATAAGGAGAGGGAGGATCTCCTTTTCTAATTTCGCAGCGACTTGTAAAGAGAGAAGAAATTTGGCCATTAATGAGACAATCAAAAGATGGAGAGGAGACATAAACTTGGATCCAGTTTTGAAATTCACGAGGGAAATTCATAGTACAGAGAACGTGAAAAATAGTTGATCATAAGAGACGATCAATAGCTTTTACTAAATTAATTTTAACCATGACTAAAGGATTTTTATCCTTTAAGGAGTAAATGGTATGTACAACCTCTTGTGTAATAAGGATGTTGTCATGGATTCTACGATTAGAAAGAAAGTCTATTTGATTAGAGCTGATGAGACACTGAAGATAAGGTTTCATGTGGTTAGAGAACAAGGTATGCAATTTCGAATGGTACCGTCCATATCGGGTGGTACGTACCGGTCCGACGGCATACCAGTATGCGGACTGCTCGCTACCGGGTGGAACGTTTAAAAGCGCTCCGTATCGGATGATATGGGGTAAATTGGGCGGTAATTCGATCGTTACCGCCCGGCACAACTTGGTAATGGTCGATTTCAACCGTTACCGTTCGGTAACGATCGAAATCGATCGTTACCGCACTGTAATAGTGCTACAGTGCTCCAATGGTCAAATTGACCGTTGGAGCCCTTTCTCATAGTATTTAAACCCTTCTTCTCTCCTATTTCATTCCATTACATTCTCATACTTTCTTAAACTATCTCAAACTCTTTTTTTCTCACATTTGTGCTTTCCTAAACTTTACAAAACAACGATTTGTGAATTCAATTGAGGCTAATTTGGGAAGATTAAGAAGAAGAACTTTATAATCAAGAGGTATAAATTCTCTTTCTTTAATTAGAGAGTAAACTTTCTAAACTTATGTTATTACTATATTTATTTCTAGCTTAAAAACCCTATCCTCACTTTTTTTTATTTTCAGATATTTTCGGAGGGTTTTACACCTAAATTAGGTGTACCGCTCGGTACGCCCTAGTGTATCGCTCGGTACATGGTATCGTACCGTACTGAGCCAACCTCGAAACACTGGTACGGTACGGTATTGCATACCTTGTTAGAGAGAACCTTAGCTATGCAGATAGAGAGAACCAAGCAGTACATCAAACATCCTATTTATAATTTTGTCCATGACAGCCTGACAGGTCGACAAAAAAAATTTACCCATTAAATAGGATGACCAAGGGCGATGCCATAACTAGAGTTTCTCTTCGTCAAAGAAGACCGAGTTGGTGAAAGTGGCTTTATTATGCTCTATTGGGGATCGATGCAACAGACATCCAATGTTAGCAGAAGAGAATGAAGGAGAAGCCAATAAAACAGAAGCACAAGATGGGTGACGAGGGGGCGTCTAAGTACTCTTCTCCGAATCCTTTCCAGGTTCTGGAGGTTTAGGTGGAGTATCAGAGGTGGAGAGATAGAGAGGGGCTAGGAGATGCTTATTGCTCTAAGACTCCCCACTAACTATTGAGAAATCATATTTGTTATCTATTGAGGTTTCTTTTGGTTGTTTGCTCACACAAAGCTGGAACTTTAAAAATTTAAAACCTATTAAGAGGTCAATGACTTCCCATTTAATTTGTGATAATTGGGAAGGCCAACATAAAAATTGATTGTTGGTATGTTCTTCACATTAAATATGAGTATATCAAGATTACATTATACTAGTCAACTTAACAGGGGAGCTTGAAGAAATGACCAACAAAAACTAGACACTTCATTGATTTCATAGACTCGAAATGTAAACAATTTAAACTATTGTTGGTATACAAGAATCAAGTTGCTTGGCTAATACATATTTAATAGGAATTAAGGGACATGGTAAGAGGGAATGAACATGAAGCTTTGAGTGGTTTTTCAAATCTGGCATATATTTATCACTCGCTTCTGCCAAGGAAAAATTTTCCATTCAGTTGTTCTTTGTGGTTGAACAATACATCTTTACACTGCTAATCTTTCCTTTTTTTTTTGGGTTATGGGAGAAAATTTTTACATGACATCTTTTTATGGGCTCAAGATAAACATCAATACACCTTACTATTTCAAAACTAAAGAAAGCAAGGGCTTTCATATAGCAAAAGCAAGAGTAACTACACACTAGGGAAGGATGTAAGACAAGGCTTAAGTCTCTTAACTAAGAGATGTGATATTCCTCTTTTTCTGCCTCAAACAATTGCTTTTAAATAGTCTCACAGTCAAACCTATGCAACCTTGGCTGACCATCTAAATCTGTTTGATATAATCTGTTTTTGAGATCTTTACTGATCTTTTAATTTTAGGTGCAAACTTGAAGTGTAGATTTGTTTGAAGTCTTTTATTGGTCAAAACGAATTTTCTGGATCCATAAATATGCTAATACATGTTTTTTGTTTCATCCTTTGTCGCAAATAAATATATAATCTGCAGAATAATCTTTATGTTTTTAGTTCTTAAGATCTCATCAAATGTGCTTTATGACATCTTAAAATAAGAATTTTTTGGTTTGCGACCTTTCAACCCTTCTTTTGTACTAATAAGTTACCATATAAAGTAAACAGTCTAAGTTTGTCTAAATAATTTAAACCCTTAAAACCAAATCATTGGTAGTTAACTTGACAATTCGTTAACAGTTAGTGATAGGAGATCTCAGAACTATCTGTTCAAGAGATACAAACAAACAATAACATGCCATGGTATCCCAGTTATTTAAGGTTGACTATGTAGATTTTCTCCCACCATTGATTTTTATTTAGCGCAACATAGTTGAATCAAGAATAAAGAAATCTCTTTTATTTTATAGTTTATAAGAAAATATTCTTAGGTCTCTTGAGTCGCAATAATTGATCACAAATTTTATAGCTTTTCTTTGAATATGTACATACCATCTTAAATGAGTTTTCTTCATTTTAACTACGTTGAAGCTACTCCTGGTTGTTATTTGAGTGAAAATGTATATTATTCTAACCAGGCCATCTCTAATAGCCAATCGTAATCTTATTAGCAATAATCCATACCTGTTACAACAGTACATACCACTAAGTTGTGAAACTCCTGGTTGTTATTTGAGTGAAAATGTATATTATTCTAACCAGGCCATCTCTAATAGCCAATCGTAATCTTATTAGCAATAATCCATACCTGTTACAACAGTACATACCACTAAGTTGTGAAATTGTTTTTGAGAAGTCTAGCTATTTTATTTTTATTGGATGAACTTTTTTTTTCAAAATCTATTTTCTTTTATAACAAGAGAAAATTTAGAAATGCTAAAATGTTGGCCTTGAATAATTAAGGATGGTGATTGTAAAATAACATCATTTGCTTTGCTTTTACTTATGGCTAGAAGCTTATCTGTTCTATGAAGTAATGTAGTTATTGGTAAGTTCTCTGCTAGATTTGGCTTACACATATATCCTCTTGAAACGCAGAACTCTCACAGATAACATGGTTGTTGGGGTCTCGAAAGGATTTGAAAAGCGACTTCAATTAGTTGGGGTTGGATATCGGGCGACGCTGGAGGGCAGGGATCTTGTTCTGAACCTTGGATTCTCCCATCCAGTGAGGATGGCCATCCCTGATGGCTTGCAAGTGATGGTGGAGGACAACACTAGGATCGCCGTCATCGGATACGACAAGTGTGCCATTGGTGAGTTTGCTGCTGCAGTAAGGAAGTGGAGGCCTCCCGAACCATACAAGGGTAAAGGTATCAAATATGCTGATGAAATTGTGAGGAGGAAGGACGGAAAAGCTGGCAAAAAGAAGTAGAAGTGACCAAACCTACCATATGTTCTTTGCTTTCATATTTGCATGCATGTCGTTGCTCTCTCCATGTTTAGAGATTGTAGAATCTCAATTGCAGTTACTTCGGGTTGGTTCTAATTGTTTGTAAGCTCAGATACTTTTTGTGCAACAAAGTGTTATATGAATACGAGCGCTTGAATTGCAATGCGAACGAGAGTTACTGGAAAAGAAAATAAGTGGTTTCTAAACTGATCCCTTTCTCATTCAAGAATTTGACGGAGGATTCCTTTCTAAACTTCATTTGCAGCTCTCAACTTTGCTGATGGAGACACTTGGAATGAGGGTGGATTGGATCAAGGAAGAAGTACATGTCCAAGAGCCCTCGTAGCTAATTGGCTAACGTGAAGGACTAGGGACTGTTCCAGTTTCCACAACCATGCTTCTGCCTGCCCCTAAGTCTGGGGATAGGATAGGATAGGATAGGATCTTGTCAACTGCTAACTCGATGGAAGAAGAAACCACCTAATGTTTATGCTAAATGTTGATGTGAATTATGTGCAAAATCGGAATAGTCTAATAATGTGAATTTCTTGCACTTAAAACAAAACAGGGGCTGCCGAGGAAGGGGTTCACATGATCATCGCGGAGACTGGTGCAGCTAATGTCGGTCAGTACGTTGTTACAGTACAAACCCCATCTCTCCCTCGTGAAGCTACAGCGCAAATAGCAAACTTTTTTAGATGTACATTTTTGTCGTATCAACAAGGAAACCAGTAAAGGTAGCTAAAACTGGTTAACAAACCTCGGTACGTGGTCCAAATTATAACTCTTTTTGACGTGACAATGGGCCATAGCAATCTTTTTGTACTCGATGCTATATGCTCCTTTTGTTTAACAGTTGATATATTTTTTACTATTTTACGAGGAATTTGTTGTGTGGTTAGATCCTAATTAGCCCGGTTGCATCTCATGTTGCCAAGACCTAACCGGGGATAGCAATTGCACCTGCAATTAACTTTAAACGTGATTGTAATTGTTGATTTTCTTTACAAAAATGCCTGTTTTTTTTAGCTCTCACTTTTCTTCATACATAGACCTGTTTGCATCTTAGTATGATTGACGCCTATTAACTTAACTTCACTGGTTCCATGAATAGTGGCCAACTCTTCTAATCCTATAAATCAATTTAATCTAATGTAAGATTAAATTTGTAGCCGTAACATGCAATGACACTTTTTTTTTCATTTTTTTGAACTTAAGGAAAAGATTCACCGTATCATCATCATAAGGATGTCTAACAATGTATTCGTTACAAATAACACACAAGTATTTGATTTTTTTTATAACATGATTTACTAAATACTAACTTAACGTGAAAATAATCACATATCGAGAAAATTCAAGTATGAAATAGCGATGATGCAAATCCATCCTCATTTTCTTCTATAACATGATGAATAGCGACGAACTCTTCCAATCCTATAAATCAATTGTTAGAATTTTAAGGGTCACATATGTATAATTAAATATGTTAAATCATTATTTTGATTAGTCAAAATTAAAATGATCTAATTAAAATAAAATTATTTGGCTAACGGACATAATTATTATGAAAATTAATTATGTGGATACCATAGTCATATTTCTAACTTAATGACGAGATAAGTTAGGAATATGAAACTCTTGAGGCATAATTGTAGATTCATCAATTATGAATATAATCATAATCGTAGATTCATCAGTTATGGCTATAAATAAGGTTATGGTCCTCGGTTATAGTATCTAATGAAGTTTCTCTTCACATGTCAAGGAGAAATCTAAAGTTCTTAAGGATACTCTACAATTGGAAGACTAAATCATCAATTAATTCAGAAAATATTCTAATGGATTCATCAGGTACGCTTCTATATTAATATGTTTCTTAATTGGTGTAGGATTTCATGCATATTATAGTGGATTTAATAAGTTTTATAGAAACATTATAAAATCATTGTTTTGGATCTGTAAAGTATGTTTTGAACCAAAAATTTGATTTTGATTTTATAAAATAATTATTTGATCCATATTTAATATGTTAAAAGAACCAACAATTAGTATAAGAGCCATCCATGAACATATAAGCTTTTTTTCATATATTTTAATGATATTTTCATTGATATTATATCACTTTAATTTTGAGATATATTTTTCTCTTCGTGTTTTTTCCTTTTCATTAGTATGCAAATTCATTTTTACACTACAAGGCATAAATTTTTCAAATTTCCTTTGGATTTTATCTAAAGTTCCATATTATGTTGGTTTAATTATGTTGTTGTAATATGTAAATTTAATATTGTTGCAATATTATGTTGGTTTAATTATGTTATTACAATATACAAATTTAATTAATAATAATATTATTATAATATTATATTGGTTTAAACATAATATTGGTTCTATAAAGTTGTTTGTTGACATAAATTGAATAGTTTTCATGCATTTAAATATTTTAGTCAATAAATTAAGGTCAAACCAATTTGATTAATGTGGTTCAAATTTAATTAGTGTAGTTTAATATTAGATTGAGTAATTTAATGCATGAAGTTGCCAAAGTGACCTCTCATATATAATATTTCTCATAAAAATATTAAATGTAGTGTGTATTTACATCCATGTAGTAATTACCCGGCCCAAAGGAAGGTTAATCACTGGCAGGATTTTATACATACCTGTAATAATAAACACTTGACAATTATAAAGTTATACATGTAAATGATAAATCAAAACAAAGATGGGTTTCATGCCTTATTATTAGTGTTTGATCATTACAACAAGACTACCACTAGCAATTAATATTGAAGTCCAAAGACAAGTAATTAATATTGAAGTCGAAAGACAAGATATTAATGTTGCACTTAGTATCTTAAGATAGGTTATATCATTATTTGAATTTACTTAAGTTTATGGTAATAGATATGAGCATAATTTTTGGTTGTTTATTGTTTTCTTGTTTAGGTTCTCTTGCAACAATATTTGCTAACCTCAGTTCTATACCATTTCTAAACGAAACTAACTTTAAAGATTGGAAAGAAAACATTCTGATCGTTTGGGCTGCATGGATCTGGACCTTGCACTAAGAGAAGACTAACCCGCTTCTCTTATAGAAAATAGTACTCATGATAATAGAAGACTATATGAGAAGTGGGACAGGTCTAATCGCATGAGTCTCATAATCATTAAGCACAACATTCCAGAAGCCTTTAGGGGTGCGATGTCCGAAGGGATTACCAAGGCTAAAGATTTTCTTACCGAAATAGAAAAGCATTTTCTTAAAAACAATAAGGTGAAAATAAGCACTCTACTTCAAAGCTTGTTTACCATGAGATACAACAGTAAAGGAAATATAAGGGAATACATCATGAAAATGTCTAATCTTGCTTCAAAGCTTAAAGCATTAAAATTAGCCTATCAGAAGACTTACTCATCCATTTGGTTCTGATATCTCTCCCTGCACAATTCAATTAGTTTAAGGTCAGTTATAACTGTCAAAAGAACAAATGGTCTCTGAGCTCATTTCATATTGTGTGCAAGAAAAAGAAAGGTTAAAGCAAGAAAAGATTGAAAGTGCCAACTTGGCCAACACCTCTAAGGACAAGGGCAATAAAAAAATATATAAATCTGGAAAGAATGAGGCTGATAAGGGCCTAGTACAGAAGAAATAAAATAAAGATGATACTTATTTCTTTTGTAAAAAATCTAGGTATTTGAAGAAGGACTGTATTAAATATCACGCTTGACGTGCTAAAAAAGGTACGTTCCTTACTTTGATTTGTTTTGAAGTCAATTTAACTTCAGTACCTAGAAACACTTGGTGGTTAGACTCCGGTGAAACTACTAACATTAGTGTTTCAAAGCAAGGTTGCTTGAGCTACCGAAGACCCAATGATGCTGAGAGATGCATTTATATGGGGGACGAAAAATTGGTAGATGTGAAAGCTATATGCACATTTAGATTGTTATTGTGTACTAGATATTATTTGGATTTGAAAGATACTTTTGTTATACTGTCATTTAGACGGAACTTAATTACTATTTCTTATTTGGACAGATCTAGTTATTCTTGTTCATTTGAAAATAATCAGTTTATTTTATCTTTAAATTCAAATGTGATTAGAACTAATTCACTTGTAGCTTATGACAATCTATATTTGCTTGATACTATAGCATCCGATCATTAATCCTTGAATGCGGAATTGTAAGGTACTAAACATAAAATTAAAAATTCGGGTATATTATGGCATAAATGTTTAGGTCACATCTCTAGAAATAGAGTTAAAAGACTTGTGTCAGAAGAGATTCTTGATCCCATTGACTTATCAGGTTTAGATGTTTATGTTGAATGCATTAAAGGTAAATAAACCAAACTTAAGAGATCAAGTGCATATAGAGCTACAAATGTTTTAGAATTGATACATACAGATATTTGTGGGTCATTTCCTACATTTTCATAGAATGGTCAACAATACTTCATATCATTCATAGACGATACTTTAGATATGAATACCTATATCTAATATATGAAAAATCTCAGTCTTTGGATGTGTTCAAAGCATTTAAAGCTGAAGTTGAAAATCAACTGAACAAAAGGATAAAAAGCATCAAATCTGACCGTGGAGGGGAATATTATGGCAGAAATGATGGTTCAGGTGAATAACATCTAGGACCATTTGCTTTATACTTAGAGGAGTGTGGAATTGTCCCTCAATATACAATGCCAAGGTCACCTAGCATGAATGGTGTAGCTGAAAGACGAAACCACACACTTAAAGACATGGTAAGAAGTATGATTCTCAATCTACTTTGCTAGAGTCACTATGGGGAGAAGCAATAAAAACTAGAGCTTACATTCTTAATAGAGTACCAACTAAAGCAACTGCAAAAATACCTTATGAGCTTTGGATTGAGAGAAAACCTAGTCTAAAACACTTTCGTATATGGGATTGTCCAACTGAGGCAAGGCCTTACAAGCCTAATAAAAAGAAATTGGAATCCTAAATAGTAAGTAGTTACTTTATTGGTTATTCTGAGTGATCCAAGGGGTATAAATTTTATGATCCTAAATCAAGAAATATTTCTGAGACTAGTATTGCTATATTCTTTGAGGATATTGAGTTTGGGGGCAGAAATAAGGTTAAAGACTTTACCTTTGAGGAAGAATTGGTTTAGTCTGATCTG